CAACTACCCCAAATCCAACCTCTCACCAAATGGAGCCACCTTTGATTAAAACTATTAGTACCGAGTATGCAAGCAAGCTTCTGCGACTAAGTTCGCTTAGGCTCCTCGAGCTCTTCTATCAAGCTCGCCTACACCCTACGATTTCCTCAACCGAGCTCACCTATCTCTATCAAATTACGTCATCTAGTTTGTTGAATAATCCTTTCATGACATAAAGAATGATAACTCTGCTCCATCATCATCCAAGTCTATTTATTTACTACATGATATTCACGCCTAGAAACACATCAACGATGAGTCTTCGTGCAACACAACCTAGAACTCATCATTTATATATTATTTGTGTCCCTATGAGGGCAAACACATTCTAGGTTATATATAGGAAGGAAAAGGGTGAAGATCCTCAAGCTCTCTTTGTCTCTCTCTCTCATCCCCTCTCTTTCTTACCACCAATTAGAAAGAGACACACATTCATAAATTTTCACCTATTTTCTACCTCTTTCACGAGATCTCTCCGAATTTGTATGAATCCACAAATAGTATGGGTTCTACAGCCTAAAAGGTTTCTAACAGTTTGTTCATTAGTTTATCAAATTCACAATCATTCATAATTTTCCATTAAGAAAATCCTTAATTACAGATAAAATTACTTGCCCCCTGCTTATAACATTAAGTAAATTTTTTAAATTAGTCGTCAAAGTGAAAAGCCATTAATCAAATAATGGATGAAGATGGGTGCTGATATGCTGATCCATCTTTATCAATTGTGCCTGTCCATGAATATGGCCATAACTAGCTTTAAGTTAGATCAAATTTTGCTGCAGTTTTGGGCCAACATATTACACATAATATGCCGGAAAAGATTACTGATTAGCGATGTTGATTGCTGTATTCTTCAAGCTATTATTATTATTATTGGCTAAAGATTCCATGCGATAATTAATTTTTTATGGGCTTTCTGCTCGTTTAAAGGTTCACGATCACCGCAAAAAGCTCCTACGACAAATTTCTTGTAGGATTTCGATCGTAGATTTAGCAGCTATAAGAAGTCTATTTTCGTGTGAAAGAGAAATATTTGCGTCTTGCAATACTCACATAATAATCTATGAATAACATCGAAATAGAACATATGAAAGTTATTAGAGTTATAGGTTATTGAAATTAATACCTCAATCTAATAACCATGTATAAAAATTATTGAGAGATAATTATGCTTGTAGCTCTACGTGCGTATTTTCGTACACTAATATTTTCACATCATGTGAAAACAGGCAAATCGCACAATTTAAAACAGAGGACTCTCTCTCTCTCTCTCTCTCTCTCTCTCTCTCTCTCTCTCTCTGGCTCGTGAGAACTAGGGCTGTCAAAAAAACTCGTTG